ATGATTTAAGTCGCATTTATGCATAAGCCTTGTACTTTTAGCTTAAGCTATTATAATTTTGACTATACTTGAGTCTATCAAAAGCTCAAACTATGTGTAATTTACGCTCAGTTTTGTGAAGTAAAGCACGACTATTCTTAAATTATTGCATTCAATTAAAATACGATTTGAAATGTTACTGTTAATGCTTAATTTGATCACAATAAAGGTCATAATCAATCTGCATGATCAATGAAAAAGTATAAGTTTTGCAAAAGAAGTCAAAAAGTAACTCAATCGTTCGTCTTTTTTGGCAAATTGGGGCAGAAATAATCCAATAGTCATTTGCATTACAGTAAGCTACTAGATAATGAGAATACCTTGAAATATCTTATTAAAACGGCATCGTTAAACTAAGAGCAAATTTCCTAAATATAGTGTATTTTTAATCATCAAAATATTAAAAAGTTATTTCTTCCATGATCTCTTCTTGAGAGCAACAATTATAGTTCAAATTATTCAAATTAAAAGATAAATCAATATCGGATGTAACATTAAAACAATGGTTAGCATTAATAGACTGTCTATTATACCCGAAATGAGACCAACAATTTTTCACACTTTCTTCTTGGACTGATATCCAAGCTTCATCAATCCACTTGATTGCATTAAGTAAGTTTATAGTTTTAACAAATTGGTTTAGTTGATCGACACTATTGTCGACTAAATAATTAATATAAAGATTAAAATATTTGGCTTTAAATGAGTGAATAATACCACCATCAAGAAGTTGAGTCATTGCTGTGGTTGATGGTGGTAAAAATTTGAAGGAAATTTATCACAGGAAATTGGTTAAAGTTAACATTTTGACCAGAAAAATTATCTAAAATGAGGAAAACCTTTTTTTTATCAAGAATTAAATTATTGTGCCAACCGGTCAACCATTTTTCAAAATTATTCCTGTTCATCCAAGCATTTTCTTGGGCAATATATTCAACATGAAAATAGTTGGTTAATACCGAAATAGTTCACCGGAATAAACGAGTTTTATTGAAATATCGAAATGACAAATTGATCTCATGTTTGGTGATCAAACGAAATCAACTAACTAAAGATACTTATAATAATTAAGGTCAAACACCTCAGATTTGTGAATTCCGCTACAGGAGCAAATGAGCTTGATTTACAGGGCACTCCTATGACAGTTTACAATAGACTTGTATCTGATCCCTCAAAACGATTCTAATGATTATCTGGATCTTCTTGGAGAGTTTTTACTCCCATGTGCAACTCTAATCACTCAATCTGGAAACATTTTTCAACAGGAAAATGCACCGTTCAATGCATCTCAATCCACTAAAAGTTGGCTTGAAGCAAATGAAGTTCAAACTATGCAGTGGCCTGCTTGCTCACCTGACCTCAACCCTATCGAGAATCAATGGGATTATCTAACCCGAAA